TTCCTTGTCCTTTTAAGTTACTCCTCCCTGTCGCACCCCCCTTTCAAGTTACTCCTCCCGCACCCCGAGGCCGGTCGAAAAGGCGGGCCAGGCTTTTCGCTTGAGGTTTCCTCACCACTAATGATCCTGGAACTTACAAAGTTTAACAGTTTTACGGTTAGAGGGCGGGTCGTTTTCAAAATGTGGTTCTCGCCTTAGCGCTGCGTACCTTCGTGTTTCAAACTTGCAAGACTTTCACTTATGGAGGGCGGGCCGTTGTGCTCTCGCCTCATCGCCGCATGCATTCGGTTTAACACGTTCCAAAACTTTCACGGAGTTACGGCTGTTCCTTTTCAACATGTGATTATCGCCTTAGAGTCGCGCGCATTTGCTTAAAACATTGCAAGGGTTTCACAGACGGAGGGGGGACCCTTTGCAAAATGTGATTCTCGCCCTAGCGCAGCGCATATCCGCTTCAAACTTATGCACGAGTTTCACGGACGGAGGGCAAATCGTTTTCAAGCTGTGGCTCTCGCTTGAGCGCCGCGCATATTCGTTTAAATCTAAGAGTGTACAGCCGTTTCAAGGATTCTCATGGTTCACGTCCCAGAAAGGGTGTTATGGCACGATGTCGGAATGTCAGGGCGCAACAGTTACGTTGATTCTTGGTGCCTGACGTCCCAGGAATTGTTTTCTAGCACGATTCAGGCTTGTCAAAATGCAGCAGTAACGGTGATTCGCGGCGTCAAGGGCCCAGGAATGGTGTTCTGGCGCAGCTCAGGATTTTCAAACGCTTGTTTTCCAACGGGGCCGTTCTTTCGGAGTCGTGCAGGTGCTTATGAAGGGGGAATTCGGAGAGAGGATGTATTGTCATATTGTTGATGAGTCTTGGGTTTGCACTCCTTCTCCTCCTCCTCCTCCTTCTCCTCCTCCAGGCCCTCTCCACAAGACCGAGTTTGCTGTTATTGTGCGGGTCTTCGGCTTCAAAGGAAGAGCCTCCGCCATTCTCCTCCTCCTCCTCCTCCTCCTCGTTCTCCTCCTCCTCCTCCTCCTCCTCCTCGTCCTTCTCCTCCTCCTCCTCCTCCTCCTCCTCCTCCTCCTCCCTCCTCCTCCGCCCTCCTCCGCCTCATCGTCCTCCTTCGCCTCTTTCTTCTCCTCTTCCTCCTCCTCCTCCTCCTCCTCGTCCTCACTCCTCCTAATTATCCTCATTCCTCTCCTCCTGCTCCTCCTCCTCCCTTCTCCTCCTCCTCCTCCTCCTCCTCTCCTCCTCCTCCTCCTCCTCCTCCTACCTCCTTCCCACCCCCTGTCGGTCGGCGCACGAGGGCAGCACAGCCAGCCCGCGCGACGGCAACGGGGGAGGCGGAGGAGGCACAGACGCCGATGCTCGCCCCGGTCGCCACGCCTGGATCCTCCTTGAATGCTGGTCGGAGTGTGCCCCCGGGAGAGGTCCGGGGAGTAGTGGCACGGCTATTCCGAGTTTCTCAATCCGCGTCGGGGGGGTGCCACCCCCGCCGACGGTCTCACGTCGACCCCCGTCGTGGACAGCCACCGCGCGCCGCAGGCGCTCCGAGCCCCGTCGCGGCGCGACGGCGAGGCGAGGCTGACCCCCGTCGGGGGGGGGGTCGCCCCCCCCCACGCTCAGGATGAAACCCAGAGTCTGTTCTGTATTTGCTTCCCGCTTCCTCCCCCCTCTTCTCTGCCTGCTTCAAGCTTCGCGCGGCCTGCTTAGCTTCGACCAGAAGAGGTGCGCTCTCGACCCGCGGATCAAACAAGTCTGTTCTGTATTTGCTGCGCCTTCACGGAGCAGAGGTGGGGAAGCCAAGCGCTGCAGTGCTCCATCGCCTGCGCTGCGGTGCGGCTGGGGCCCTCCCCGTCCCCCTCGCCCCCCGCACCACGCGCCCCTCCTGCTTCTGGCGAGCAGTTTTAGGTCGGGCCCGTCCCTCTGCAGGAGGTCTGGGGACGATGTTTCGGCTATTTTGGGCTATTTGGGGGGCATTTTTGGGGGGTACTTGTTTTTCGTCCCAAATCCGCCTGTAGGGGGACATGCCCGACCTACGAGCAACTGCGAGACGAGAGAGAGGTACCGATACCGCTTTTCTTCCCTCGTTTTCGCCTTGTTGGGCTTCTGGGCTCGTCGTCACGGCTGGACCGCTTGGAAATGATGGTCCAACGACCCCCCCGGGAGAGTTCCAGAGAGGAGTAGCAGTATCGTTGTCTTATTGGCTTCCGCAGTTGGGAAGCTTTTTGTCTGATCGAGACAATCAGCCGAGGCGTCAGAATGAGCGATGCGCAGAAAGTAGCCAACTGCGGTGGCATTTGCGCGCACGCTGCCCGCACAAGGTCGTGGTGAGTGCCCTTTCTACCCCGTGGCCTGCCGCTTCGGCGGCCCGCGTAAGCCACCGCGTGCGTCGCTGTGCCCTCACGCATAAGACCTGCTTTCCTTTATCGCTCAGGCCCCTCATCGGCGTCATCCCGACATACTGCTATGATGTGTGCGTCGCTCCCCCTGGGGCGACGCGCGCACGGAGAGCTCTTGTAGTGCATGCTCAGTGGCGGGCGCTTTCTGGCCATACCGCTCGGGAAACGATACACTAACAGATGGTTATGTTATATGTTCGGGTCGGACGCACGCCTCCGAGGAGAACACATGGTACTGGTATGTCTTTTGTGCGTCCCACCTCGACTCTGGTCCCCAGACCCCTCTTGGGGTCCTGGTCAGTTGTGCCAGACAGGGTTGATGTTTGGGTGTCCCGGGGCCCGAAACAGGCCTTTGGAGGTCGACTTGAGGAACAGCTTTCTGCTGATTTTTTGTTCGATGGAGTCCCTGTGACCACACGTTTCAACCACACATGTAAGCTGCTATGTGGGCTTGGAGGCCAACGTGGGAGCAGCAGTGGCTCTGGTCTGTACGGAATGCCCTGCCTCAGGATGAGGGTTTCGACAACACCTACGAAGTCGACGAGGGCACGCGCGCAGTCGTCAGCAGATTGTCTTCCGTTTGTGTGCCGGCATGGGTAAGCAGTAGCTGAATAAGGAGGGCACGTTAGGCTGCTGTGGATAGAGGAAAGGAGCAGCCTCACAGAAACCCGAACACAATGGCAGCTTCGGGCATTCGGGCACGTGATCTGTGAAGAGGCACCCTGCGTGTAGACTGAAGCATCCCGATAACATTACGCTGGTGCATGCAACATATTTCCAGCATTGCGCCAGCGCGAATGCGGCTCCGACACACGGCACCGCTTTGAATCGAAGTCGGACTTCAGAAAGCAGTGCTCTCAACCATGACTTAACGTTGTCCCAGAGAAATATTCGCATTCGAACGTGATTCGAGCATGGCCAAACGAGTGTTGTGATGTAGTTCTGACTGTCGCCACAGATCAGCAAGGCAGAAGAAGAGCCCCAGCTATGATTGTAAATGGTCTTTGGGTAGTGCCGCTGACATACGGTGGGGGCGTTGGTTAAGGAATGCTCCCAGGATGCTGCAGACCCTGGAGGGTTCCTTATCTGATGAGGGCGGCGGTGATGTCCATGGCCAAGCTTCGATGGGAGTTCCACCAGCCTCCAGACCCTGGATTCCTTATAAGGAACCAGTGCCCCCACCGTCCGTAGCCATTTTGGCTCAAGGCAATGAACCGTCCCGACGACCGCGAGTCTTTCGGGGCGACTAAGCGCGAGGGAGGTTCTGCTTTGAGGCTACCTTCCTTTCCAACAAGTGTGAGCTGCCACTGCAGCACCCTGGACCTGCGGGTCACGGTTTCTTCTGGGTCGGCGGGTCCGCCCCCGTCGGCACCTGCCTGCTGCACGCCCGCGGCTGAGCAGCGCGCCCGCCCGTTCCGGCGATGGGGCCGAAGGCCGAGCCTGGCTTCGTCGTGTGCACGGGCTGCCGTTTCCGCTGGAACTTCCGCAGGAATGCGAAGTGCTGGCTGTGCGGGATCGGGCTGGAGCTGGCGCCCTCGAAGCCTTCGCCCCGCGTCGGGGTCTGGGCGGACGACGGCGGCGGCGGCTCCCAACCCGCACTGCGAGGAGGCGGCAGCGGAGGCCCACCGAAGAATGGCGCCAAGGGCGGCAAGGGCGGCAAGGGCCGTGGAGGAGCCTCCCGTGGCGGCGGTGGTGGTGCAGCCTCCCGTGGCGGCGGCGGGGGCGCGGGTGGCCGTGGCGGAGGCGCCTTCCCGAAGGCCCCCTGGTCGGCTCCCCCCGAGAGCGAGCTCGAAGCGCTCCTCGCCTGCGGGGACCCCGCCATCGCGGCCAGGCTGCAGGAGGCAGTCCGTGACGCGCGGGGCTGCGTCGCGCCCGCGGTCGCCCCAGCTCCGAAGCCGCTCGAGCAGAGGCTGCAGTCGGCCACGGCGAAGCGGATCCACCTCCAGCGCCAGCTCGACGAGGCGGCGGACGCGCTCGTGGCGGCGGAGCACCACCTCGCTCTGCGCCGAGGCTGGCGCGACGAGGCGGCGGTCAACCTCGCAGAGGCCAAAGAGGAGGAGAACGCCCTCCTCCGCCAGCGAGCCCAAGCGGCTGGTGTCGTGGGCGCCCAGCCCGATGGAGCGAGGCAGCTCACCTTCAACTTCGACGCGGAGTCATTCGAGATCTTCGCGGAGCTGGAGGAGGAGGCGCAGGCCACCCTCAGGCGCCTCTGTGACGAGGGGCTCCAGATCATGCAGGGGGCGCAGGCTACGTTCGAGCGCAACTGCCAGGAGCACCAGCAGCGCATCAAGCGCCAGATCGAGGAGGAGGTGGCCAAGAAGCGCAAGCGCACCGAGGAGGGGCCTGCAGCAGCCGTGGCCGCTGGCACCCCCGTGCGGGGCGCGGTCGCCCCGCCGCAGCCAGCAGGACAGGCGGCCGCCCCTGCTGCTGCCGCCGCCCCAGCAGCAGGCGCTGCGCCTGGTGCAGGGCCCCCCCCAGCGGCCGCCGTGGAGAGCCGAGCGGCAGACGAGGCGGCCCGACAGCGCGCCGCCGACCAAAAGGCTGCTGCGGCGGCCCCCCCCCACCTGCTACTGGCGCTGCTGCTGGCAGCGGCCAGGCCCGCGGGTAGCACCCTGCTGCCAGGCGGCGGCCCCGTAAGCGCGGCGCCGCCCGTCCCAGACGGGGCTGAGGAGGCAGAGGCGGCGGCGCCCAGCCGCCCCGCGGCGAAGGCGGCGCCGAGCGGCGGCATGCGCGCCTACCTGGCGGCCAACGTCGAGGCCGACGCTGGGGAAGGGCTTCCCTTCACTGGGCCGCTGCTGCGCCAGGACCGACGCTCCGACGATGCGCGCCATAGTTCCAAGTTCAAGGCGCTCAGTAGCAGGGCAGAGCCAAGCGCTGCGGCGGACTTGGATGGGCCCGACCGAAGGACTGGCAGTCCTCAGCCCAGCCAGGGGCCCATACGGAATAGTGGGTACCCAATTCAAGTTGGCGAGGCTAAGGGCGAGGGCGTGAGACCCCCTGAGGTTCGGAGCCCCAAGGCGGCGGGCAGCCGCCCGCCTGGCGGCCGCGCGGGCGCCGCGGCAGCCGCGAAGCCTGCAGCCCAGCCCCCAGCCGGGGCGACCGCAGGCCAAGCCCCTCCAGCTGGCCAAGCTGCAGCGCACGGAGGCTGTCAGGAAGCTTAGCCCCCTCACCAAGTGCTGGCGCAGCCTCGGGAGGATCGCCAGGCAGCTCAGTGCGGCTGCTGCCGTCAGCTCACCCCCTGAGGGGCACGGGGGCTACTTGAAGCACCTGGTGCAGGTGGCCAAGAGCTTGGGGCCCAAGTTCGAGCAGGCGGGCTGCCCCTTGTTTGAAGGCACTAAGCTGGACTCGCTGACTGTGGTGATTCAAGAGCCCTCTGTGCAAGGGCAGGCCTTCCTGCAGATGTTCGAGAGCGCGGCGGCGAGACTCTGTAAAGAAGAAGCCAAGGCGGCCAGGCTGCGCTGGATGAACTACGTGGACGTGGCCTCGACGAAAGGGGCGAAAGGAGCCCACGATGTCATACAGGACCGCGATCAGGTGCTGGACTCGGTGATCGCGCACTGCCCCGACTGGCTGACGCTCCCCGTTGTAGTCCAGCAAGCCCAGAAACAGGTCCGCATAGAGTGGAAGGCCCTCTGGAAAGGAGCCGATAGGGAGCACAGGACCAGACCAGCCGATTGGATCTGCTCCATGGCGCTGCCCCCTTTCACGGTGGGTGACAGCCTCGAGGCGGCGAAGTCGCTCCCGAAGCAGACCGCTCTGGGCTGGGATGCGTTCCACCCGCGGCTGGTCCTCTCCCAGGGCAGGCCCTTCGCCGATATGATGGCAGAGGTGCCCACGGCTTGGGCGTTGCAGCCGCAGCCCACGGCCCTCTTCACCACGGCGTTCCTCTTCCTGGGGAAGCCAGACGGAGGCCGCCGCCCGATCGGCCTCGTGGGCAAGTGGTTGCGCATCTGGCGCAGGGTGCGCCGCCGCTACGGTGTCAAGTGGGAGAAGGACCACCAGCCCACTTTGGTCTGGGGCAACGATGCGAACAGCTGTGACATGGCGGTCTACCCACACAACCTGGGGCTCGCGCTCGCCCGCCAGCTTGGCTTTGGGGCAGCCTCAGTCTATCTCGACGGCAAGTTCTACGCGCGGACCGACCACGACCGTTTCAAGCGAACTGCCGAGTTGGTGAGCTTGATGGGCCACCGTTACGAGGAGCTCTTCTGCCAGGACCTCTTCGTCGGCGCCCAGTACCAGGTGCAGAGGCCGCGCTGTGACCCTGGCGGGGCGCGCCGCTCGCGCGGCTGGGACGCGGGCGCACTCGTGGTGCCCGCGGGCACCCTCGTCTTCACGGACGGCTCCTGCGTCAACAACGACCTGGTGATCAGGAGCGCGGTCTGGTCGGTGGCGGTTCTCACGACCGTTGGCGAGTGGGTGGTGCAGGCGAGGGGTGCGGCGCCGTCTGCCCTGAAGCTCATCCCCTCCCGTTCGCGGGCGGCCATCGAGAGGGGCGACCTCATGGAGGTGGAGCTCTTCGGCAACCGCCTCGTGGGCCAGCTCGCGAAGGCGGGCGCGGCGATGCACGCCATCGCCGACGAGGAGGCCCGCCTGCTCCAGGGCTGCCAGGCCCGCACCCGCTTCGCGGCGCGCTTCGCCGCCGAGTTCGAGGTCCAGGACACGGAGTCGGGCTTGCGGGACCTCGCCCCCTACATTGCGGCGGAGCTCGACGGCGAGGCCGACCCCCTGTTCGCCGCCGCGGCGGAGCCCGCCCCTGGGACAGGTGGATTCAGCCCACCGAAGTCGCAGTCCCAGGGGCGCGGCCAGTTCGGGAAGAAGCACGACGTGGAGGTGCGCGCGGCTGGCATCGCGGAGCTGGACGCGCTGTTGGCTGCTCCTGACGGCGCGGCGCTGGTGCGCGGCAGCGGCATCTCGGAACCCATCGAGCTCCCCGAGGGCCGCGAGGCAGCCGCCGCTGTCGGGCACGCCGCTGGCGGAGGCCCTGGGCAGCCGCCGCGGCCTGCAGACAGCAGCCTGCCGCCCCCAGCTGCCCCCTTGGTGCGCCGCCCGCGGCAGGTTCGCCAGGCGCCACGCGACGCGGAGCACGTCGCGCTGTATGGCGATGGCAACGTGAAGGAGATCGACGCGGAGCTTTGCGGTGGCTACGCCGAGGCGCAGGCCTCGGCGGCTGATGGCGGCCCCCTCCTCGCCACGGCGGCGGCCCTGGCAGCGGCGGCGGCTGCTGGCGCCGCCAGCTCGCGCCCTTCGCCCATGAGGCGCCGCCCCGCCTCGGCTGAGTCGCCCGCGGATGCCCTGCGACGTGTCGCCCAGCGCGGGGCGCAGGTGCAGCCGAGGCGCCGCGAGGCCTCAGCCCCCGCGCCCTGCCCGCGCCTGGCGGCGGCGGAGGCGGCGAGCAGCCACTGCGGAGGCGGCTGATGCAGCCCGTCCAGCGGGATGGAGGGCCAACGGCCACCTCCTCATGGAGTCGAGAGTCGAAGGAGAAGACTCCGAGCCCTTCTTGGTCTGCGCGGCTTGCTGGATGCACTGCCGCCTCCCCAGGCACGCGCACCGCGGCCTGGGCGAGCAGTGCGGGGCCAGCGCGGCGGCTGGGCAGCCCAAGTGCAAGAGGGGGTCCAGAGCCCAGGCGCGGTCGGACTTCGCTCGCGGCATCCTGCCAGCGTCGAAGGAGCCGATCGCGCCGCTGGCCTCGCCAACGGAGTGCACGCGCCGGCGCTGGGCGGCGGCTCTCCAGGCCAGGCAGGGCCACGGCGCGGAGGGGCAGGCGCTCGTGGCAACGCCCGTGCCAGCGCAGCGGCTGCCAGCAGCCGCCCAGCCCCCACCGCCTGCGGCTGGCGCTGGGAGCCAGGCGGCTGCGCCGCCGAGCGCCGCGGCTACGCGGCGGCCGGCCGCGGCGGCCCCGCGGGAGGAGGCCGCCGAGCCGCGGCGGTCCCGCCCAGGGCTCGAGGGTGCACGTGGAGCCCACGGCTTCGCGGACGCAGC